ACTAGGGGCTCCTGGCCTTACTACTAGGAGCAAGGACGCTACTAGGGAAAATGGTCTTTAGATGTTTTCCGTCTCCAAGAGCCACAGTCCTGACGGTAACTCGGATCTAAACCCTCCGTTCCAGGGCACCAGAACTCCCCACGGTTGGTGACCTCACCAAGACATGTCCTGTGGGTTCGTTTCGGCATGTACCATGATTGAGGGGTGGGGTCCACTTTCCTCATTCAACCAGGTGGTCCAGCCCCGGGTAAGACCACAGCCTGGAGTGGGGAAAGCAACAAAATGTCCACACTGCAGAGCCAAGTTTGCAACACCTGAGAGCCAAACGAAATCAAAGCTATCTGGGTCATTGAAGTGAAACTCCTGGCGCTTCAAACGTTTCCCTCGAATGTGCAAACTCGTCCTGCACTGAAAGCAGCTTCGTGAACACCTTTAAGGCGATCTGCATTGCTTCAGTAGGTTGAGTCTTTGGCTTTGACAACACATTGAATGTCACAAGCATGGTAGCGCTCCAGCGCAAAGAATGTTTGCGCCATCAGCGTGCAAATGTAGAGCACCAACCTTGGTCGCTGTGTAAAGGGATGTCTCAAACTGGGGAGCTTGCAAACCGACGTGGATGAAAACAAGTAGAACCTGTCAGAACCTGCTGTCTGGGGGTTGGAATTTACATTCAAGCCGGATAAATCATCCTCGAAGATCAAATCAGCGAGCTGTCAATCACAAGGTGCCCCCTTGGTCTACCACGCAAACAGAATGAGCCAGTAGTTCAAAGAGATGGCGGTCAATACCATCGCCTCGTCTTATGAAGCACATAGTCTTTCTGATTCACGTTCCTTTGGCTGGTTGTTTGACCTTGGATTGCTTGGAAACAAAGGACCTCTTCCCCTCTATCAGCTTGATGGCCTTCAGAAGCACTTTGAAAGATGGCCAGCGGTTGGCCAGCTTGTTCAAGACCTGGGTCACAGTCTCAAGAGGTGTGTGCAGTGAAGTACTGTGCTGAGTGTCAGTGACATAAGTTTTTCTTGAGAAGAGAGATCAGGTAGATGCGTGGCGTGACATTGGTGCTTGGAAGAATCCGCCAGACGGCCCTGCATTAGTTAAGTTTCCCTAAAAATCTACAAACCAAATCATTAGTGCGAGCGCTTCTTCAAGGAAGCTTCCCCCGCCGGGGGAGTTTCCTTGAAGAAGCGCGAGCTATCCTGCGTCCATACTAGTAGCTTCCTTGCTACTACTAGCTACAGCTACCTAACTACCCCCCAACAAAAAAAACAAACACCTCTCATTCTCATCTACACTGTGAGAGAATCTCTCCCTCAGCAGCCAGCTCTGAAGAGTCGAAGGGTGCGCAGCGCTGTCAAAGGCCCAGCTTGACCAACACAGGCCTCAAGTCTGTTGATGTCTAAGTCACCTCCCAAACCCTCAAGATAGACCCACAAGACTCCCACATCCGGATGTGGTGGATTGGACCCTCTGCAACTCATGTCTTAAGCCCTTCGTGGACTCCAGCCTGCACAACCGAAGTGATCACGATAGTGCCATCAAACGCAGTCACGGGATTGGAGAAGTACCTGGGTCCACTAATTGGGTTCGATGAATGGTAATCTCGAACTATGGAGGAACAGCGGCGCATCTGGAATCTGCACCATGCTCATTGTTTCTTTTTAAGCGTTAAAACTTGAGCAAGCACCAATGCAAAGGCTTGGTATCTGACTGTCTTGGGCCTGGAACTTTGGGGCAGGATCAGGAGTGAGTCTTCAGATTCTTTCAGGCTCTAAAGACTGCTCTCAACGCACTTGAATAAAACAAGGTGGAACCCACGAACCTGAATACACACACGTGCGCAAACACAACCAGCTAAACGTTGTTGGACACTCTATTAGGATCTATTAGGACACGTTTGTGCGACAATCTTGAAACGGAGACACTCCCGTGTCACACACATGTGGGACACTTGTGTGCGACACTCTTTTGTGCGACACCCTTGTAGGATACTCTTGTGGGACACTCCTGTAGGACACTCTTGTGGGACCTTTCGTACGAGACCTCGTTCAAAAGTCACACGTCAAGTCTCCAGAACACACCTTTCGCACGAACTTTCCTCCAAAGTGACCTGTCAAGTCTTCAAAGTGGGTCGTGGGCGTTTCGTGCGAGACTTCCTCTCCAAAAGAGAAGCGGGCAGTCTCAGCAGATCGACCACATCAGGCAGCCCTGCCAAGCCCTTTTGCAAGTCGCTGACACGCCAATCCAAAAGGCACAGCAACAATCACCGGCACCAAACCTAGAAGCCTCACGATTCCCTGTGCCTGCCCAAACTGCCTCCCACTTCCAGGCGCAAAGTACTTCCACGAAAAGTGACACGCCAAACGACCAATGTAAACGACCCTCCCAACGGACCCGCGAAACGGGCAGCGCCCATCCGTCGAAACGCTTCTCGTCACGTCGTTCGCCAACAGAGAGTGCTATGTCACGTCGTGCACCAAACGGGAACAAAGCAAATTCACGGTGACATCACGTTCGCTCGACACACTTCGCTATAACTTCCTTGAAAATGACGTGCCTAGTGCCATCAGCAGCACTGCCATCTCCACGCAAAAAGCTACCAAGAAGGTCATTTCTAAGGCGTCCAAAACGTCCTCTGCAGTCAGGCGTGTTTGGCGCTTCGTTGTCGTGAAAGAATGTACATGCGCAAATGGAGCAGCCATCAAATGTCCTGCTGACCCCTTGGTGGTGGAAAACTCTCCATCATCATAGTTATCACCTCAGAAGCCAAAACTTCGGCCCAGGAAGGCAGGAAGGCAAACACTGAGCTTTTGGCGTTGCTCACGATGAAAAGCATAATGATGTTCATGAACCAATCACTGAATGCAATCTGACGGCAGGTGTGCCTGAGATCGTGCTACAGATCATCCTATCTTAGCTGAAGAGACAGCAACAAGGTCCACAAAGGACTGGCCCGAGTCTCAAACACCAGAGCGCAGTCAAACCAAGCTGGCTGGTCATCAATGTCCTAGTTTAAACGCAGGCTACCTCAATGCCTCTGTCATCTGAAGATACTGGGAGTCTCTTCCTAATCCGGTCTCCTCAAATGAACCATGGTGTAAACTACATACAGGGTGTGGCTAGAGTATTGCAAATCAGAGTCCCTTACATATCGTTCCACGGTGTTTTCGAGCATAACAAGTATATACAGTATATAACTAACATATATAAGTTGTCACCTTTTGAGAGTCCGTATCGTTTCCGCTTTGCATGCTTTTGAACACTTCCAGAATAATCAATAGACCCCCAAGAGGAGCTGTTTTCAAACTAAATTGCAAGGTGCCTCAAATACAAAATTTGTTCATCCCTGGCGTCTGATTTGAGCGACGGTCCTGATCATCCTCACCCAGCAATGACTTCTGCAGCGCTTCTGGCAATTCGCAGAGGAAAATGGCCATGAAGTCAACAACAAACCAGGTGATTGAGCAATCAGTAGGCATTGAAGAAAGGTACTCCAAGCTGGACAATACCTCCCCTTCAGTGCAACATGCTCACAGAGTAGCCAAATAGAAGGCAAAAGCAGATCGAGTCCCGTTTTGAGTAGGAGCCGCACCTTCCTGCGTTGTATTATCATCGTCATCCTCAAGCTTTGCCTCCTGAATGACCGGCAATCAAAGAATCCAGAAAAATTAATGGGCAAAGTCAACTTAAATCACCCGTGTCCTCTTTCTTCTCGAAGTCGTCTCGAGCCTCCCCACTGAAAACTGTAGTCAGAAAGCCACAAGGAACAAAGCTCTGTTGCTGGACTTGTTGTGTCCAAGTGAAGAAAGTGAAAGTTTGCCTCATCAACCACGGCCAAGGCCACGTTCAGCAGGAAGAAAGAGGTGAGCTGCGATGACATCCAAATGAGACGAGGCAAAGCGGCAAAGCTGTTGAAGTATGACGTTTTGCATGGCATTTCTTGACTCATCTCAAACAAGTTTGATGTTCAGCTCAGGGAAAGGAAAGACTTGAGAAAAATATGCTCATATCAGCATGCAACAGAGTTCTTCCAAAAAAGTGAATCACATACTGCGAAAGGACAGCCATCTCTCTTTAGCAAAGTTGCTGGAATGAGAAGAAAGAAGTACACAGTTGCAGCCTCAACACCATGAAGTCAAGCAGTCAAGCAACAAAAACATGTTGACAGAATGCCATGTGAGGATATAGTCCAATACATCTGAGCCCGCTTTCCACAATACCTTCCTATGAGAAGTTGAATGAGCAACTCATCCTAAAAAGCCTTCTTCTCAAAGCCAGTTTCACAGCTATCCTCGATCTAAAAAAAGTCAAGTTCGGTGCGATGAAGTCATAGCTATCCTGTACTCTGTACATGATGTCTGTCCAGCCTGCGCTTGCGCAGAGACCAGAGGTGAGGGTATGCGGGTTGGGCTGCGTCAGCAGAAAGGTAGATGTAGGTGATCGAAAAAAAAGGATGCTTGGGCCACTTTCAAGAAACTAAGGGGCCACTTTCAAGAAACTAAGGGGCCTCATTTCAGGGGCCCAAGCTCCTTCCTTCAAGAAACCCAGTCTCATCCACTAGCAACTTCATCTTCCAAACCTCCTGCTGAGCTAGCAAGACACACAGGGTGTTATCTCACAAGTTGCGACACCAGCCTTCCATCGTCATGCATTGAAACACCACCAAGAGAGCCCATAGAATGTTGTCAAAGTTCATATAGTCTGCATCTGGTGTGAGCCTCACAGCCACGTGGACACGCATGTCGCAGCCATCGAAATTGTCGGCAAAACTTGAACTCCAGCAAGACCATGTGAGAGTCTCTGCCACGGCTAGGTTCATCACTTTTGTGGCTCGCTGCCTGCACACCATTGAAGTCCCAACCTCAAATGGCAGTAACACTTGCACACCATGGTACCACTCTCTCCGAGTGGAACTGAGATGAAACGAGTTAGTCAGAGTGGGAAATGTCCACCGAGCATCCCACATGCCGTCTGGCCCAAAGTCTGGCCGCAGTTCGGGTCTCATGTCCTCGCACCGGACATCTGAGAAGACGTCTGTTCCAGGCGCCTGTTGAGAAGACGATGAAGAAGACTTCCAAGAGTTTCTTATGGGCCGCTTTGCCCCTACTTCTTATTGAGTAGGCACCTACTTATAAAATTAAGTAAGGGCTAAGTCAGCTTCTAGGCAGGACGCAGGATAAATAGCTCACGCACAAATCATTTGGTTCCTAGTCTAGGTTTTGATTTACAGTAAAAAAATATACAACCAAAATCCCAGGAGTGTCCTCCACTAGGCCACCACAGTAGCCGCCAGACGCTTCGCCTCGAAAAGATCCAAAAAGGCAACCGATTTGTGCGTTAGCTTAAGAACAAATCCAAAGAGCTGTCTTTCAATAAATTATATACAGTAACAAAATATCACCATTTGTCACACATGTCACAATCACAATGCTGTCTTGCCAGGTCTTACCTTAGCCTGACCCATCCTTCATCTTGGATGCCCCTTGGGTGCCCGTGCAGTTGTAGGCGCCACCACACAGGCGATCATCCACTGCATAGGGCCAAGACCTCACCATGTATCCAATGCAACTTGTTTGCGATTTCTGAGCAATGCATCCTGGGTGGCCAACCAGCATTGTAGGCCAGTACCATTGGCAAACAACAGCACCTGAGCGACACTGATGCGTTTCTATGATGCGTTTCCTTAATTTTCTTACCTCTGAAAAGCCCGCTCAACAGCCTGTATGATGCATGATCAGGACTCTCCAGAATTTCTTCCGAACACAGCAACCAATTTAGATCTATTCAGCAGAGTTGCAGGTTTGGGATCAATCCGACAAAGGCGGTTGAATGTACCACTCATCAGTGTTACACCTGACAAACATGTCAACAAACGCGTCTGCCATGTGCTGCAATCGCGAGTTGTGGACCCAAGCGCAAATGGCAAAGCGGCAAGGTGTCAAGGTGAAGCCCAAATTTACCCTTGAACTTGCCTGGTCGTTGGTCCCTTGTTTGTAGCTTCCGTATGCTACTGCAATTCCATAGACAATTATATATGTATATATATATATATCTTTACATAGCATATTGATTGAAACCTGTTTCATTCATGTTCATTCTGAGACCCTAGGCTCTGGCTCCTGCATCCTAAATGAACAAGGACGCCATGCCTATAATGCCGAATACCAAAAAGAGGAAGGCTCCCACTGCCTCGAAACAGCAAGAGTGCACATAGGATTCATTCGTCTTCCATTTGATGGGCTAATCGGCTAGTGGAACAGAAGTTTCCAGTGTCAGCAAGTTCAATTTGCAAACAACAACGTTTTTACTTTGCAATTGTCTCACAATTTTGAGAAATTCACTTTGCCGTCATACGAAGCAACTGGAGACTTCTTAGCTTCCAGCTGACACATTTCCCAGCTTGGGGACTGAGCTTATAACCGTATTCACCAAGACCTGGAAGAAACGACTTGCTGTCAAAACGACTCCAAAGAGTCAGAAAAGGTGTATTTAAGTCAGGAAAAAAAAGAACAAAAATAAAACAAAACCTATCAGAACCTATCACCTTTCTTCTTGATGTCCAATTGTTGAAATGATTTGAGTTGAAATCTTACCGCATCGGAGAGCCCAACTCTCCACCTCTCCACCTTGCCTTCATCTGCGGCACCGCATTGAGCGACCGCAAAGGCCGTAGCGCGCGAAAGACGCGGAAGAAGCCCAGACTGCCACAACACCAAAGTTGGCGAGACTTTCACCAATCTAAAATGAATAAAGAGCCACCATGTTCGGATTAAAAGTAGAGGAGAATGCCCATTGTCGAAGTCCCACAGTCCACCAAAAAGCACAAGTTAAAAAAGCAAAAACCCCCGCCCCCCTCCCTAGTAATAAGGGCATCGCTACTACTAACAAGAAGCTAGTAGGTTGGAGGCCATCGCTATTAGGTCGGAGGCCATCGCTACTAGTTTACTAGTAACAAGTGCACTAAAGTAAGTACTGTAAATGGGTTCTGGCATAGGCCATAAGCCTTCTATGCACATATAAATAAGGCACTGGACTGGAACAGCGGCAAATTCTCCCACCCGCTAGCAGCTCCACCAGGAACAAAACTTGCCCAGGCCTCAGCTGTGCCAAATAACGAAAAGTTGGGAAAGCAATTTGAGCGAACAAATCAAAAGACACAAAACCTTCTTAAGTTCAATCAACGTTCCAACTCTTTGCTTCAAGACATCTGATTACAGAAGCTGCAAAGAAAAAGCACTATGCAGCGTGTCTTCTGACTTCTGAGCGAAGCACAGTGAGAACTACAACGAAGTCAAGCCAATTCCAGGCCTTTGCTGATGAAACACATTGCTGTTGATAGCTCTTGCTCTGCACTTTTGACAAGGGTCAATGTGTACTCTGAATAGTGAATAGCGGCGAAAGCAAGAACGCTGCCTACTGTCTTCTCCTGCCTTCGCGCTTCTCAGTGTCCCCCCTGAGACTCGAGCGTCACGGAGATAGGAGTTCCTGTCCCAAAAGAAGCCCCAAGCTATGACCTGGGCACAAACACATCGAACACCTTCCATAGTGAAACTTGTTGGACGTTTGCTAGGCCTTTAATTGAAGAGCTGACCAGTTCAAGGAGCATATTGACAAAATGTGCTGAGAATGTTCAACGCATACAGCACAACGCGTCTGGAATGCACAAACGGAGAAATCTCGCTTCATTTCAAACACGGGTGGCTATTCCTGACTTACGTGCTCAGTACAAAACTTTGCACAAACCGTGACTTTGACACCACCTCCTTGCCTTGAGCATCGCCTCCAGCGTGAAAAAGATGGTGAGCCAAACGTCTAGGATGTTGTTGTAAAACCCGTTGAATCCTGCAAGGCTGTTCTTTCAGAAAAGCAAACCGAAGACGGTGCAGAGTGGCGAGCCACTATGGCTGAAGGTCTGAATAGCGCTCTACTGGAAAACTTGGCTTGAAAGCCGCTTGATTCTGTTCGGCCTTTATTTGGATCACTGCGCCAATCCACGATGGCAAGGCCTCAGCTTACGCTAAATCAAGATGTATCGATGCAAGCATGTCACGCTACTCATTGGCATCTGTTTGAGCTAGCTTCACTAATTCATTCATCTGTTTGCTGTGTATTGAAACCTAGAGCATTCTCACATCTCTCACAGCACACCAATCCGCCGCCTATAGAATTGAGCGCGATAAGTAGGAGGATGATGCGGTCAAACCAAACCTCACACTTGTGAACTCGACCAACTCACTAGTTGCAGGTGATCTACAGGACAAGAAAGGAGACCACAAGCAACACAAGAGTTTCCGTTCAAATTTCTGGTCTTGCTGTCATCGCATTAAGGTGCTGACCCAGCACACCAACAGAAGAACCTGTTTTTGAGCGCCCATTTGTTGCACCGAACAAACGATGGCACCGAAGCCACGTGTTTCGGCCTGTTGCCGGATGGGTCTGTCGATCTCAAAGATGAAGAGTGACTTGTCACACACCTCACCAAATGTCGAACTGAAGCAAGTATACCAGACGAAGCATGGAGTCCCAAGCCTCAAATTTCTTTCCGTAGACCAAAACCTCAGTTTTTTTGTTGCTGCAGCAGATTGCAAGGACCTTGACCTACTCAAAGAGATGTGAGACCCAAGTGCATACCCGCCAACTGAGTTGCTGGTTGATTTTGTGAAAGCTTTGAAAGCTTTGATGCTTGTGAGTGCAAGCTGTGGCATCAATGCAGTCAATTCGAATCAACTTCAGCTCTTCAAGATTGACGGTCTTCGAACTTTGAAGTAAGATATTTGTGTAACGTTGAGGCAGGTCTGTGCTCTTCCAGATCTAGCACCACAAACTGAATGCAGAGCCTGGCTCTAAATTAAACCGTTTCCTTCACTTTTGGATTATACATTCAATTGGACAGCAAAACAGTAAGACAATGCCACCAGCATGTTTATAATGTATATATATAATGTGTGTTGACAATCGCCAAGAACAAATTCAATCGCAAGAACCCCTCCACCAAGGACCTTCCCCATCAGTGGCCAGTCTATCTACCACCGAGCAACGGTCCGAAGGCCATCTGCCGTCTTTCCTGGAAGGATGTCAAATGCCTGCGCGGGCAATTGGTGGTGCATTCACTAGAATCGTCAGAAATGGCATGTTATAATTATATATAAGTTTCTTCATTGGACTTTGCATACATTATGATGTAGCGACCATTTCCACAACCGTCTGTCCCCACAGTGGAAACCAGTTCAACTTCAAGGCTGTGTGTGTCTCAATTTCTCAATCTCTTTTCCCCAAAAATAAATTGAAAAAATATCACTCTGACACTCTCACTCTATCTCCCTCTCTCTTCCTCTCTTTCTCGCTCTCGCCCCCTCCCCCTCTCTCTCTCTCTCTCACGCATCTTTCGCCAGCATGAGCAATTTCAAAGTCTCATTCTGATGAATACAGACCATCTGTCAAAACAGAAGGAAAATCCATTGAAGTAAGCACACTGGTGACAGCTGCAGATTGGCTTCAGCTATGTCTAGCAATCTCAATCTTTCTTGAGACAGTCCAATCACAAATCCTTGAACGCGTTTGCCCGACATGGGCTAGGAACACTAGTCCAAACCTGTCATGGAGGCTGTCACAAACTCCTGCGGATTCACAATGGAATCATAAACCAAGTAGAGGACAATCAGGATGAGGATTGGGAAAACCACGTAGAACGGGCCTCGACTGCCGCACTGGCTGGTCATGTTCAAGCCTTTTTCTGGGCGGAAGGGATGAGGCCAGACCACATTGATCAACACAACCCCATCTAGTATGGGCATGTATGGTTCCCAGCAGGGCGTCTGAGGGCAGTGCCTCTGAGGGATTTGAAGCTGGAAAAGGTCTGGTGGCCCGAAATGCCGACCGTTTTGGGGTTTCTAACACTTTCATGTGCAGGATGTGTCACATCAATGTCTTTGTGTCACGGTTTGGATAAATATCATCCATACAAGAGTTTTCACAGTGGACGAAAGGATGGGAATATGGGCTGGA